GAAATTTCCACCAGGCTGTCAGAGCTGTGGCTTTTTAAAACAGTGATGATTTTTGATGGTCTGATTGAAGAAGGGTAATTCTGAAGTGTTAATGTCCTTACAAATTGTTTGTTCAACATCTAGCCATGTGCTTTCTGATGAGTCAGGGTGAATCCATTTGTGTATATTTTGGAGCTGATTGGCCAGAAAGTAGTGGTAAAAATGTGGTGCTTCCAGTCCTCCTTGTATTTTTGGTTTCTGTAGGGTAGTCAATTTGATTCTTGGGGTCTTGTTTTTCCAGTAGAATTTGGTAATGATTGAATCTAGTGATTTAAACCAGGAAAGGGTGGGTTGTGTTGGTGTCATTGTAAATAAATAGTTTAATTTAGGGAGTATAGTCATTTTAATTACTGATATTCTGCCCATAATAGATAGTGGTTGGTTCATCCAGCATTGAAGATCATCGTCTATTGTTTTAAGTAATGGAGTGTAGTTGAGTCCAAAAAACTCTGACATCCTGGGCGAAACAATAATACCTAGATATGTGATGTAATTGGTGCACAGAGGAATTGGTGGTGTCTGGGATGTCACATAAATTACATTTTAAAATATATTAAAATAGAAAACAATAATTTAAATTGTAATCATATTTTCCATGTATATTACTTTATGTTTGATCAAATAAATACGTGTATGCATAAATTATCATTAGCTCAGATGAATAAATGCAAGTTATTAAACTGTATTATATAACCTAATTGTAAAGTGTTACTGGGCTTCTTTCAGTTTCTTGATTGCACATTTGCCATTTAATTTAGGCAAAAATATAAATTGAGTGCTAAAATGCATTTGAGATGCAATCACATTGATTTTGGCTCACTGACATTCAATTTCATTGTGTCTGTTATTAAAAAAATCAATGAATTTTAATGTCATACTAAAGTGACACACACTATACACATTTCAGTTTAACTTCTGCCAAATTACAGTACAACTGTGCATAAATATTTCATTATCAACAGACTTTGTATTGTAATTCTTTGTATTTTAGACATTTTAATTAAAAGCAATAAATCCAGTGGAAAAATTCACAATAAATTTGTTTTAAAATATGTTTTAGACATTTTAAAAGCTACAAATCCAGTGGAAAAAATGCACAAGAAGCTGAAAGTGGACAAATTGTCTCTGCATTTGACCAAAACATTCTGATGAACAGTACAACATTTTTCCATATGTACTTTTTTCTTGCAGCAGTACTTTTGTCAATCTATTTACATTTAGTCACTTCTTGCATCTTGATCGACTGGATTGCTGTCTGATTGGATATGCACATTTCATTTACACTTGGCCACATTAATGCAGTCTACTATAACCGTGCTAAATGCAAATTCACCTGATGCTAAAGCTGGGCAGCAAAATTATCTGTTGAACACTCTCATTACCAATAAAGAAATGAGTGTTTTTGAGTTTTCATCCATGTGTCTCATCTGTGTTTACTCACGCATATTGTTGTGTTATTTTGCCTTTAATGAACCAATAAACCTTATATATACACTTTATTCCCCATCTGTAGCTGTCATGAATAAATACAGCCCTTACCTCTTAGATTGTGGGATCCCAACGTACATATGCTGATGTAGTTCTGCCCCATAAGGATCAAATATGGATCTAATAATCTGTTCCCTTAAATACAGGACAATTCTGTATGGGACAAATGGCAATCGTACATAGAATAGGAGCTAGAAGAAGAGTAGACGGAGAGGGAGACAGATAAAGTTTAAGAGCTCCCATGGCATAGTGTGTCGACACACATGATCAGTGAAGCATGTGCTCCAGTTAACTGATCAGTTGAGCCTGAGAATTCAACTAGAGACTAGAGAGAGAAAGTAAAGAGCAGAAGACTGCACTAGAACAAAGCTCCAGATATGATATTGTGAGGCTGTGAATAGATTAAAACATTGTAACTAATTAATCACACAATTGATTGCAATTATCACATCTTGACATAATGAAACACATCTATTTTATGTATTATATTTTTTTAAATATTTTTTTTAATATAATTTATAAATGAATATATTTATATACATTATTTTTTTACACATTAAAATACAATTTAAACATTCTAACTTAATCATAATTTAATCTCAATTAATAACATCAGTTTTTTTATATTATTTACAAATTGCTTTAATGTGTCAGAAATATTGTATCTAAATATATTTACAAATATTTTAATATGAATACAAATGATTTTCCCAACCTTAATTTAAACATTTTTACTGGTATACTTGCTAAGGTCAAGGTTAGCGATTTCAAACACCAAACCGGTCCTTCACCATCCACCACAGGTGTTGACTAATGTAAGTCTAGGTCTGGTCTACAATTATTCCTTCATCTAGTTTTTCTTGCAGATTGTTTTCTCTTCATCTGTACCCAAAGTTTCTTCATATATATGAAACCTGCCTTATATTGTTGTTCTTTTCTTAGGTTTTTGACTGTATAACTGTATGTATTGCAGGATGTGATGGTGGTAGGTGAACCCACTCTGATGGGCGGGGAGTTTGGCGATGAGGACGAGCGTCTGATCACGCGACTAGAAAACACACAATATGACGCCAACAATGGCCTGGACGATGACGATGACTTCACGAGCTCGCCGGCGCTCGGCAACAACGGTCCCTGGAACAGCAAGCCACCCACAGGACAAGACAGCAAGCCAGAGAGTACGGCCTCACAGCCCTCTCAGTAGGAGACAACACGTGCAATGCCCCGTTAAACCATCTTTCTCTCTGACCTCACTTTTTACCCTCGATGATGTAAATCCCATGTGATGGGGTCAATGATGTCATCCATTTTCACCAGAAACTGATGGTTCCACTTCTTAATTTGGGTAATGTTTAAGAACTTCACAGACCAAACTTTGGCAGCAATATTTGCTCACTGGATTTTTTTGAAATCATCTAGCTAGGCTACAAAGCAGCCCAAGAAATGTGACTCTTGGAGGAACTCGACTTTATCAAGGCTGAATGAGCAATCTGAATTAACAGAGACCTGAATTTGGGACAACTTTAGTCCAATAATCAATGTAAAAAATTGACCAGTCTTGCAGTTCATCACACATCTCCATAGTGACTCCAGTTGGCAACCACACTCGACATCAACCAATCGCTGAAGAGACGGTCATGTTGGCTTTCTTCTCACTGGAGACTGGAACTGCAGAGGCATCCACTGAGACCAATCCCTGAACATTTGCATTTTTATTGGAAATTCGTTTGGCTATTGTCTTTTCACCTCTGCTTTCAATTAAAAGTGAACCGCCTTGCTTTCCTTCAACACAACAGACTGTATTAACAAAGATAGCTTGCATAGAAAGAAAAAACATCACCAGTTGCCATTTAAAGATTGTACTTTAATTGAAAAATTCCTATTTGATTTCAGAGTTGATGTGTTTTTTATTCATTTGTGAGTATTCTATATTCTCCTTGTACTGTACGATCGAGATTAGGAGTTTCTTGATTGACAGGCAGGCACATATGAGAAGCATATTTGTCCATCTTTCGCCTATCTCCCTGTATTGACTTATTTTCATAATGGAATATGATATGTTTCTGCATGACATTTCAAAATTGGTAACATGTTTATTTCCAGACTTTTGAGGTCATGTTGTACTTTGGTTATCATTTTGGAAGCACAGTAACCAGGGTTGTGACAATAAAAATGCATTCTGCTTCATCTGATGTTACTGAAGTCATCAGACCTTGATGTAAACGGCAGCTGTTTTGACGTTTACTTCTTCCTTTTTTTTTTATCTGAATAATAGATTACATACTCAGGAAGTAACACCATACTGAGAAATGAGTACATTACCTTACTGTAAATTCAGCAACAAATTTACTGTTCGTTAGCTTTGTATGAGTTTAAATAACATTCATTATGTCTAACTTCAGACTACTTTAAACAGGAAAACAGCCTTTTTATTTAAAAATCATCATTCAAAAAAAATTGAATGCCCTTCTATCAAATTATGTGTTCAGTTTTATACAGCTTTAGGTAATTTCTGTAGCTAGAGTTTGTTTTCATTTTTTTCATATAGCCTACTGTACATTTGGAAACGTTTCTTAAAGTCCCTTTAAGAGTTGCAGTGTGCTTTATTGAAGATTACAGGGATGATGATGATGATGATGATAAACAGCCAAATATTTTTTTTAATTAATCAGTTTCTTTGTTCCTGTATTTTGTCATTACAAAACATATTTCCTGAATATTATCACAAAGACTTAAGATATTTCAAAAACCAACAAAATTACAAGACAATATCAGCCACCCACTGTTTAAACCTTGTATTATTGAAACTCTGCACAGTTTGTAAAATATTTAGCAGAGCTGTTTTTTGTGTCATATCCAAAGTCTTGTATGTATGCGTTGCCATTTTGTGTGCCAATAAATTGAGCTTACAAAACCTTTGGCCGCAATATTTCTGCCCCCGCTTACTCAAGTTTTATTTTGCACAACATTTCCATCATGTTTTCTATATTGCTCTGACCTGATTTAAGGAAGATCTCTCACCGATCTATCAACAATTGCCATTACAATGCAGTTTTGACAGCATCCAGGTAAATCAACCGCACTTCATCTTGTTCCTCTTAAAACGTAAAAGTCTCAATGGCACCACCCTGTGTTAGATATTAAATATGCAAGATGAGTTTCTTGCCTGTGTTTTGTATATTTATAAATGTGCTATATATATATATATATATATATATATAATGTACATGTATAGATGTATATAATTTCAACGTATGCATTTTTAAATATTAAATTAAAATTATTAGTATATTTCAATTAAAAATATACATTTATTTTGTAAAAAGAAAACTATTTATGGTTCAATATTTATAAATTATTTATGTACTATAATTTCTACTATAACCTCTATTATATTTCTATATATGGCTTATGCTATTTTATCGCGACAGTGTAACTTACTGTTTATCAATATCACGTGCGTGATGTGATGACGCCACAGCGAAGATGGCGGATTCGCTGTGTGGTGGGGTGTCAGACGAAAAAGATCCCGAAAATGACGATCACAAAGGGGTAAAATGTTCATGGGCTGCTGCAGCCATATCGAGGAAGACAGACGTCTCTGGGGCGGCGGCGAAAATGACGGAAACTCTCGGATTTTATGAGAAACCCGCCGTTAAAGACGAGCAGCACGAGCATTCAGGTGAGCTGGAGCATCTGACAACTGACCTTCGTCTTTGCTTCCAACGTGGCTTCAAGTTTAACTTACCTGATTTTACGAATGCACGTGCCAGTCTCTTCTTTAATGTGGCCACATCTAAATTTCAAAAGTTTCAAATGTTGTTTGGCTAATATTTTAATAGCGTTTTTGCTAAGCAGTCTTTGAAACGAACTTTAATTTTAAGTGAAGTGAAGTGACGTGACGTGACGTGTAACCAAGTACGGTGTCCCATACTCGAAATTTGTGCATTTAACCCAACCCGGAGCAGTGGGCAGCGGGCAGCCAATGCTGTGGCTGCAGGGGAGCAGTTGGGTGGTTCGGTGCTTTGCTCAAGGGTATTGAGAGTGGAAGAGAGCGCTGTACATTCACTCCCCCCACCGACAATTCCTGCTGGACCTGAGACTCGAATCCGCAACCTTCAGGTTACAAGTCTGACTCTCTAACCATTAGGCCACGACTGCCCCCGTTGTGGCAAACAACAGAGAAATATAAAACAAAGAGCAATTCCATTGTGGTGAAAAGGAGGAAGATGAAAAAGCAAAAAAAAGGAAAATGTAGCAGTGATAGAAGACAGATTGGTAAAGAAAAAGAAAAGTGCACTGTGTGTGTAGTGAATAGTCCAAGTGTTGTACTGCAGGAACAAGTAGTACATTCCCCTGTAAAACAAACGAGCCGTCTAAAATGCTTAGATTTGTGCTGGCCCTCATACCCGCGACCTACGGGTTACAAGTCCGACTCTCTATCCATTAGGCCACGACTGCCCCACAACAATTAAGTTGTGTTCAGTTGTTGAGTAGCCGTTTACAGGGCGCATATGTTGTTGTATTCATTTTAAACATATGCATCAGAAATCAAAACTCCTAGTCTCTAGGTCTACTCTAAAGTGCTCATTGGAAGCCTGAGTGGGTCATCAGATGTCTGGTTCTGGTCCAAACATGGTGTTAAAAACCCATTCATCAGAGGCAGACAGTAACTAAGTACATTTACTTGAGTATTGTACTTAAGTACACTTTTTGAGTATCTGTACTTTACTTGAGTATTATTTTTTTCTAGGAGTAATGGAGTAATATTTGACCAGCAGTATCTGTACTTTCACTCAAGTAATGGAGTTGAGTACTTTGTCTGCCTCTGCCATTCATAGAGAAATGTGCACTTAAAAGCAAACCTCTTGCTGTGGCCCAATCTAGACATGTGGATATGTTTTAAAGAACGTACTGCAGTGAAGAAAAAAAATAGCTTGCACAACATTGTTGCTTATATCTCTCAACAGTGTTGCCGATTTCCAGCCAAAAAGCTCAACAAAACCTGCCACTCCAACAAAAAAACGCCCAAAACTTTAACTGTCATAATAATGTGATAGAATGTTATTGACATGTCAGTCAAAGTTGATAAGGACCATTTTAACTCCTTAAAACAAAATAATAAAAAATAATAATAATAAATTTCCCAGGAAAACGAATCAAATCAGGGCAAGTACCTTAAAGAGAATGACCAAATATGACTAAAATATGCAGGCAGACACTGTCAAAACGGTAACCAAGAAATGAACTGAAAAAACACATGCATCATTTTCAATGTCAACAGTCAGAATAAGCCAATTTAAATGCAAAACGTGCCCAATATAAGTGATCAGAAAAAGCAACGTAATTAACATGTATTTCACACTCGTTCATGCACACACCATGACAGCCAAAACTGTGTCATTCATTGTTACATACTGTACAATAATCCGACAATAAAAAAATTAACAACAACAATAATGCGCTTACCTTACCTGACGCACTTTAACAGACAGAACTAGAGAAAGTCTTGTGTGAAGTACATATTGTAGAACACAATACAGAACTTTGCACAGTCAAAACTAATCAAGGTTCAGGATAAGTTCAGGAAGTTTGCATTTTAAAGGGGTCATGAACTGAGAAATCAAAATTCCCTTGATCTCATGACATATGAGAGGGCATTGTACTATAGAAACATCCTGTAAGTTCGAGAACGTAAAACTTTCTCGTTAGTCTAAAAACAGCTTATATTGAAGCCAGTCTGCCAAAACGACAGTTTGTGGAATGTGCCACTTTATGATGTAATAGTGTGGCTAAACACCGCCTCCACAGAAGATGATCAATGCCTGCTTCTACATCGCTGTCTTCCTTCTGATGCCAACACTAGGAAAAAGTGGATTAACTTTATTTTTAATGAAGTGAACTTTATTTTTATTGTGTGGTCATTATTGCTTTGTCTGTTATTACAGATCGTTTGATATGTATGGTGTATTTACGTGTTTTTACCTAAATCACAACAGCGTTCATCTATGAAGGATGTAGGCTATCAAACATACACAACTGTTAGCCAATCATAGCAGTGGGCGTTTACTTCCAAGTCTACAATCTGCCACGCCTATTCAAACAGAGCGTTCCGATGAGGGGGGTCAAAACAGGACAGAAAATAGCCTATTACTTCTAAATTAAGATTTTTTTAATGTAAAAATCTTGATAACATTATAAGTGGACCTCAGAGAACAGTACAAAATAAAAAACGAAGGCAGTTCATGACCCCTTCAAGTTAAGATAAGCATTTGATGTAATAGTGACGTATAACTTTATTATTTGTCAAACTTGTGTATTAGGTTGAAAAAGTTATTTAGAGTTACTTTTATAGATCAAAATGAGTTCTGTATATTGAATGAAGGAAACTTCGCTGAAGAGAACACTTATTATTATAATGGTGGCTTAAAACATAACAGAACTGTACAAGAAAATGTAACCAAAAACACTACATAGATCTAAAACATGTTTATTCTGAATAACTAATATTTGTCGTCATAAGTTCTAATGCTTTGACTAAAACACAAATTATTCAAGTGTGTGATAAGTGATCAAACTGAGCACACTCAGCAGCCTGTTAGCTGGACCTTCACCACCAAACTTGACATTGTACGTTTTTGCTCTTTATTATTTTAAACTGCTTCTACTAAATGGCCTAGTGACAACTTTTTCTATATTTGATAGTTCAATCTACCTTTAAAATAGTTTTTCTGACAAAATGACTTACAAAACATTTTAAGTTTACTAAAAAAAAATCCCTAAAATTTGTCATTTGAACACAGAAAATGTCTATTGTCAGGTGACAAGGCTGTCACCATACTTTGCATGAATCAGTTAATTGGTCACATGGTCACAAATGAAGAGATGTTGGCTAAATAGTTAGCCTGACTGTCACTATTACCTTTTTGCCACTTGTCAGTTATTTGAATAATTGTATTCTTTCTGTTATGCATATATTGTGATGTGTTCTATTTGTGCAGAAATGCTGAAATAAGCTTGTCGATCACTATAAATGTTGACTCTTCAATTTAATAGCATTGAACACTTGTTTTTGTTTTGTTTTTTGCTCTTTACCTCACAGACTCGAATGACTCTGACGGGCCGTCTCTGCTGAGGTTCATGTGTGCAGAGCTCACCAGAGGCTACTTCCTGGAGCACAACGAGGCTAAGTACACTGAGCGGAGGGAGAGGGTGTACACCTGCATGAGGATCCCCAGAGAGCTGGAGAGGGTGAGGCCCACAATGCTCTTCTTTCTTTTAGGCTGTAACCTAAAGAATCACAGAAATTATAAACTTCACCTTCAAATATGGTCAAACATTTCACACTTATCACAGATGTGATATTTCCATATTTTCTAACCAGAAGTATGACCCATGTCAATGAAGTAAAACTGTGGAAACAAATTGCTGTGTTTTCAAATGCATTTAAAATACACATATTTAATGCATGGACACTTCCCAGATTTGTAATGAGAACCTTTATAAATATGTTGTTGACAAAAGAGAAGCTTTAAGGTCTCCCAGCTATTTTTCTGCCATAATAAAAGCTCTTTAGGGTAATGTTTAAAAGCAAGGAAATTAAGACAGCCATAAATATTACCATTGTAATTTTACTCTTGTTTTTAGGGATCCTGATCCGATCCCAAAAATTATCGGCTGATACCAACCCGATACCAGCGCAGCTTTTTTTTTTTTAAATCAATGTAGAATTTCTATACCTCTGTGTGTTGACCTGATCATCACTCTTTTAAAGTGAAAAATGTGACGTGACGTGTGGCCAAGTATGATGTCCCATACTCAGAATTTGTGCTCTGCATTTAACCCATCTAAGTGCACACACAGAGCAGTGAGTAGTGAACAAACACCGTGAACACACACCCGGAGCAGTGAGCAGCTGTTTTTGCGGTGGCGCCCGGGGAGCATTTGGGGTTTCGGTGACTTGCTCAAGGGTCTCACCTCAGTCGTGGTATTGAGAGTGGAAGAGAGTGCTGGACATTCACTCCCCCCACTGACAATCCCTGCCGGACCTTTGGTTACAAGTCCGACTCTCAAACCATTAGGCCACGACTGGCCTAAAAGATTAAACACAATAGATACAATAATTTAGTATATTAAACACAATCTACTAAATATAGACAACTTCATTATAAAGAAAAATACATGAAAAAATATATCATCATCAATCTATGACAAAAATACTATTATAAACTAGGTTAGTGGATAATTCAGCAGCAAAGGTTACTCTAGAAAAATCATGAGTGCACAATAGTTTTATAAAATCTAAACATTTAGTGAAAAAACATTATTTTGTGGGGAACAAATAAAAGTGTAGGACTAAATCTAGTAAAATGTTACACATTGCTCTGTGTATTGTTGTAAAATACATTCATGAATATCAAGTAAATATATAAATATATATACTATAAAATTAAAGGCGTTTCTTTTAAATGTATAGCACATTAATGAGGCAGCAACATATGATAGATAGGACAGAACAAGAAAGGCTATTAATAGTCTTTCATTGCGCAAAAGTATTATAATATAAAAAACTCCTATACGGAGCGGCACAAAGCTCTTATGAGCATCCTGTGTGCATAATAATGCATTTGAAGCAACATGGAGTCACAGCGTGCATAGAAAAGTTCAAAGCACAAAGGGAAGAGATATTGATGCGTAGTGTATTATATTCTTTTTTCTTTTAACAGTCTTACATTTCAGTTATGTGTGTGTGAAGAGCAATTCATAGTGGTAGAATGTAACATGGTTTAGAAACAGCACTAAACTCCAGCAAGATTCCCATTGATCTTTATCTACAGATCAAGTTTAATAATAGGAGCATTGAATCATCTTGCATCATCTTGATGAGAGTTTCATCGTCTTGACTGTCGTAACCGAACGCGATGCGCTGAATGACAGACAGCTGCAGTGGAGAGCAGAGTTTGTGTCAACTTGAATTTAACGACTTAAATATTCATCTGAACCTCACATTAAACTATGGAACGGCTTCAGAAGACTTGGAATCAAGTGCACAAAAACTTTATGGTGCTTTAGAATGTTTTTGTGCCTTTCGTGGGGCTTAACAATAACACAGAATAGTATGCGCACAATATCGGATTTGGATCAGTCTTGTCTGACCGATACCCGATCCTGGAGAAAATGACAGTATCGGAGCCAAAACCAATACCGAGTATCGGATCGGCTCATCCCTAGTTGTTTTGTAAAATAAAACGATTATTAATATTATTAAATACTTTATTTACAATAGTAATTTTGCAATAGTAGTATTTTTATTTAATTTTATAATTTAAATAATAATAAAATATCTTTTGAATAATATTTGTTTTTTCTTTTTTTTTTGTCTTTAGCTGATCACATGCATGACTCTTATTCTTAATTTAGTTATATTATCCAAACGTTTAATAAATGAGTATGCAGGAGTTAGTGGATATGTGGAAATCTGTGAATGCAAAGTAGAGCTGCACGATAAATCGCATGCGATATTTAACGCGCACCTTGTCAGTAAAGCTGGTTCTGTAATCAGCGGTAAATCTCCATTCACATGGAGCAGCATTTCCTACACAGAGCCGTTGTTCACTGACAAGCTGCGCAAAACCACGATCATATATGATGGAGATTTTCCGCTGATTACAGAACCAGCTTTACTGACAAGATGCGCATTAAATATCGCATGCGATTTATCGTGCAGCCCTAATGCAAAGTTATTTTGTGTAGGCCTAGTCATAAGACTACATAATTTGCATCATTTTACATTACAAGTCAAGATATTACTATATATCTAATATTATATTATGCTATACATCTAATTTTATATAATATTATAAGAATATTATATATTTTATTATATATTTATAGATTTAAATTTCAATGCTTTTTAGATGTTATCAAATGAGTATTTTAGATTAAAGAGACTGAATGTGCAAAATAGTCCTGTGCCTCACTCTTCCTCAGAAATGAATTGTTGAATGCCACTAGATGGCGATATTGAGTTATTGAAAACTACTAAGACTGTTTAAAGTATATAGTTTTTATTAAGCATATTAAGCAAGAGATGGTAATGGTTCATATAATGGGCAGTATATCTGAATTGAAATATTCACATAGCATTTTTAGATTCAGCTCAAGACCTCAGGATCACTCTCAGGTTTGTGTGATATGCCGTGCATGTTGATAGCTGAGGTATGCGCACACAAAGACAGCTCTGTGACCCTGAAGGTGCTCCGCCCCTCAAATCCTAGAAAGAGCTTTTTTCAAGTTCTGTGCTGACCGGGAAACAGTTTGTTCATTATGCTTGCAATGCACAGGTGAGAGGCTAGATCTAGTACTACAGATTCCTGGTCAGTACAGATAGACTGAAGACCATATAAGCCAGAAACAGCTTTGCTGTTTTCCTTTCCTATGTTTTTGCATGCTTTTTCTGGAAGCACCATCCAGTCGGTCAAAAAGTTGAGCTGCATACCTAAGAGATTTCCACGTTGATTCAGAATGATTACTTACAGCCAGTGTGTTCACTCTGAGCAGGTAGCATGTTTTCATTATCTTGCAGAGCTCAACAATAAGAATGGCTGATGGGTCCAGCTGATGAAACTGTCATCTGATCTATCAACCAGTACTTGGTTTCCGCTATATTTTACACTTGTTCATCATGTGCACATTTTTATGCTTTGCAAACTTAAACAGCTGAGGTTTTGTCAAAAACATATATATTTACACTACTGTTCAAAAGTTTAAGCTCGATAATAATTTTTTAAAATGTTTTTGAAAGAAATCTCATGCTCAACAAGACTGCATTTATTTGATCAAAAATACAGGAAAAAGAACTAATTTAAAATAACTATTTCTATTTGAAGATATTTTAAAATGTAATTTATTCCTGTGATGGCAAAGCTGAATTTCAGCATCATTACTCCAGTCTTCAGTGTCACATGATCCTTCAAAAATCATTCTAAGATGCTGATTTGCTGCTCAAGAAACATTTCTTATTATGAATGTTGAAAACGGTGGTGCTGCTTAATATTTTTGTGGAAAATGAGATGCATTTGCTTTTCAGGATTCTGTGATAAAGTTAAAAAAGAACAGCATTAATTTGTAATAAATACTTTGTATTTTTATTAATGTCTCAACTGTCACTTTTGATTAACTGAATGCATTTTTCTGAATAAAAATAATGGGTAGGGAATTAATTTTATTTATTTGTAGAAAGCTTAAATGGAAAGATGTAAAAAAATATATATATATATAAAATATACTAACCAATATAAAAGTATGTTTATACATTTTTAGTGATCAGAGCGTTACATAGCTGTATAGTTCCTGCTATTATTGTAAATAATATATATATAAATATTTAGTTTATTTATTTATTTATTTTTTTTGTACAGAATGAATACACCATGAATTTAATGGGAAAAATTACATATACAAATATGTAAAATACATTTTTATTGAAAGGTTTATGACAGTGTCTTTGCAAGTTCTTATCTGAACTATAGGCCTACAGAAAAGCTCCTTATTATTAAGCCCTGTCTTGATTTATATTCCACTGCCTTTTATTTTCTTTGTCCTTTGTTGAGAGGGTTCTAGTGGTCTGTGTTCATCTCCTAACAAGCTCTCTTTGTTTTATAGCTGCTGGTAAAAATTGTCCCCCAGGATTCACACTCGTCTTTAAAGAGCCAGTTGCTTGCGGAGCATGTTAATGTTTTAATTTGTCCTTAACAGTCTTTCTCTGAAACAGAGGAGTGCCTCCTAAAGATAAAAAATATTTGAAGGTTCCTGACTGCTGGCAGACATATTCAAAGCCTCCTTCAACACATTACACGCCTCTGTGTGCTCAAGCATGTGAAGCATCAGGATTCAGGGCAGATGGCTTTCTTAACATGATGTCACTGCTATTTCTGTATAACATGACTGAACACGAACAAAACAAATGAATTTCTGCTTTGCATATTGCATATCTGTGTGCAGGTGCTAATGTCGCTGTTTGTGTCTTTCTACAGTTGATGGTCTTCGGGTTCTTCCTGTGTCTGGATGCCTTTCTGTACGTGTTCACCCTGCTGCCCCTGAGAACTTTACTGGCCTTTCTGAGGTTGTTGACGATACCCTGCTGTGGCCTTGGGTAACACACATAATATTACATTTTTAATAATAATAATATAAAAAAAAAATAATAATGAAAGTATTTTTTCAAAAAAATACACTGCTGTTTAAAGGTTTTGGGATTTTTTTTATTTTTTGTAATTTTTGAAAGAAGACTTTTATGCTCACAAAGGTTGCTTTTTGTCCATCAAAAAGTACAGTAAAAACAGTAATATTGTGAAATATTATTACAATATAAAATAGCTGTTTTCTATTTTAATATATTTTAAAATGTAATTTATTCCTGTGATGCAAAGCTGAATTTTCAGCAGCCATTACTCCAGTCTTCAGTGTCTCATGATTCTTTAGAAATCATTCTAATATGCTGCTTTGTGTTCTAAAACATTTCCTATAATTATAAATGTTGAAAACAGCTGTGCTGATCAATATTTGATATGTTTGTCTCAGGATTATCTGATGAATTTTTATTTTAAGCATTTGAAATAGAATTTTTTTGTAAAAATCATGTGTTTACTGTCACTTTTGATCAATTTAATCCATGCTTGTTGATTAAAAACATGTTATAAAATTTCTTTCAGAAAAGAAAATCTTACTGACCCCAAACGTTTGAGCAGTAGTGTATTTTCAGCTGAATTAAATTCTTATTGTTTGAGAATGTTTTGCTACCAATCTTCGTACAGCTGAAGATTTGATTCAAATAAAGCCAGGTGCACACTGTGCAATTTCTGCAACAATTTTTTATTTTTTTTTTGCTGCCTGAGACTAAGGGTGTATTCACACTTGTCATGTTTGGTTCGATTAAAAAAAACAAACTCTGATGCGATTGCTCTGTTAGTGCAGTTCGTTTGAGTAAGTGTGAACGCTGCCATCCGAACCCTGGTGCTCACCAATCAAGCGGACCGAGACCGCTGAAAAGATGGGTCTCGGTCCGCTTCCAAACGAACTCTGGTGCGGTTCAAATGAAATATGAATGCAACACGGACCAAATACTTCTAAACGAACCAAAAACAGGAAGTAATGACAAGAAGAGACGCTATGCGCCATGATTTGATTACGTGGAATGAGCTTTGTATCCCAAACAAAATGAGCACAGGGCAAACGTGGAGCAACGAGGAGGTAAAGTGCCTTTTATGAGCTCTTCGTGAGTTTGCAGGTGGTGAAAATAAAATTATTAAAGGGGTCCTATTATGCTCTTTTACAAAGTCTTGATTTTGTTTTGGGGGTGTACTAGAACAGGCTCTCATACTAGGTTGTTCGAAAAACACATTATTTTTCACATATTTTACATTATTACAACACCTCTCTCCCCAGTCTGGCATGAACG